CATTCAAACGGCTTTTTGAGTTATCTTGAAGTCATCACTTTAAAAAGAAACACCAACTAGAGAAATTAAATATGTTTCCAGATAAGATTATCTAAAAGGATAATGTGGAACTACAGACACTGGAAATATGCAAAAAAAAGTTTTAGGTGCTCCATTTAAATTTGCAATGCTTGAGCATTTTCATATTTTTTACCTCAGATAAAGTATTCAAAGAATACATTTATTTTTATGACATCCTTCTTCAACCAAATTTCAATTAACTGATATCTCCATCTCTATCCTACTAGGTAAGAGACTTTCTATAGTAATAGTAGCTTGGGGAAAAGAAACAGAAAACTGGAAATTTAGGGCTGGCCCAAGATAATCATACATGTGACATTTAAACTTTCCTTTCTGATGGTCCAGTCCATTAAATCTAGGCAGGAAAGGAGGCAGAATCAAACAGAAGTAGTAGGGGGGAAAAAAAAAAAAAAAAAAAAAAGCCCAAGTACCGTGTCTTTTTCTCCTCAGAACTTCAGTTAATAAACATGAAATATCTGGCTGAGGAACCCAAGCCCAAACCTCAGTGTGCAAAATAACTTGTATGATTTGAACAAACTGTGGTGTTCTAGAAGACATGATAAAATAACTTTGTAAAACAGAAAAAAAAAAAAAAAATCTGCCTTTGTGTTTTGTAAGTATGAATTCTAACACATAATGTTAGGTTATGACTTTAGGTAGTGGATTCATTAATAGCAATTTATGTGGAATTTTCATTTTGTAAAGCAAATTGTATTGGAAATATATTAGAAATGAGTAAATGCTTCCATGTAGATGGAGTAGAAGGAAGAGGAAACATTTAGTAGATAATTTTAAAGCCTAGAGACACAACTTAACTGTCGCATATAATTTGCATCAGTATTTCGCAAGAGGCATATATATTCTGTGAATACAGAGCTATTACACATTAGTAAAAAGATAAATATTCCTATAATAGTATAGATAAGTTGGAAAGGTTATGAATGGAAAATTAACATAAATACCTGATTAATAAGAATATACAAACTTGCACATTTAGTAGTGATTTTTAAAATGTAAATTTAAGCAGGGAGATAACCAATGTTGACAAAGGGAGAAAACATAGCAATACAACACAATTTGACAATTAAAGTTTGAAAGTATTAAGAAAATGCATTCCCTATACAAAAATATAGCAATAACCACAGTTTATGCAACATACAATTACAAGCACATATTTTACACACAACAAAAAATTGTGTTACACACAACAAAAAAATGCCCACTAGTAAGAATTTGGTTAAATTATCACATTTCTACAAAGGAGATATGCAGCAATTAAAAGTGATGTTGCAATTGCATATTTAATAAAATGAAGAAAATGCTTACGCTACATTACTAAATTTCCAAAAAAGTACAAATTAATATATTATGTGAAATAATCCATTTTTATAAAAAGATAATGAAAAAAGAATGAAAAGAGCTTCATCAAATTTTTTCAATAGTGAAAAAATTAACATTGATTATCTCTGGAATCAGTATTTTTTAATGTTTTTAAATTATTTTGTTGCCATCTTTGTATTTTTCAGTATTTTACAAATGTTATACAGGATCATGTATTAATTCAATAAACATATATAAAACTTAAATGCCATAAACAATATATTTTTTAAGGCTGCAAATGTTCATTTTTATTTGAAGCCTTATCCAGCTGGTAGTGATTTCTCCTGTCTTGAAGCTCCATCACACTTTGCTTCTATTGTACATTTAGGAGTTAATCTATATAATCTTGTACTGGTCAACATACTTATTTTCCTTGGTAGAGTTTCCCTTTCTGATCTCAAGGACACACACATTTCTTATACTTCAGCAGAGTACACGAAGTATGTGGGTGGAGTGATCTATACAATGATTATTTTAAGGTGAATATTTACACAATATCTAAAATTTGCCAGGCACTATTGTTAAGGCCTGGGGTTGATGGAAACCTGATATTATCATTATTTCATCTCATGTGAGATAAATCAAGAAAAGAGAGAACTGTGAAATGTTGTTTATAAGTACATGGAGTGATAACTCAGGAGGGAAACGAAACCCAGACTTTGCGGGCTCAGGAAAAGCTTTTCAGAGGAAATATATAAAGGAATCGATAAATGAATAATGAATTGGGAAAAATACGTGACCTTGAAGTAGGATTAAAGTTTCCGGCAAAGGGAAGACCAATTACAAAAGCTCACAATTGACCAAGGGGAAAGAAGTTTGAAAAACTGAAAGCAGCTCCTGACCTGGGGAAATAAAGCCTTTGAGGTGAACTGAAGCTAGATCATACAGACTCTCATAAGCTTTATTTACTTCTTCCCGTTCTTTAAACAACTGAATGTTAATTAATATTGTATAATTTAAATTCCTTCAGTTTGGTTAAGTAGTTTTAGAAAAATAGTTTTTAAATTTCCTATTGTCCATTAAGAAATGAATTACACAGATAAATCAAAATAATAAAGTGTATCCTATGTTTCATCTGGAAGTTGGGACTTCATATTTATTTTTGCAAGATGCATAATGTTTAATAATTTTGTTTGCATTTGCTCTTGGGAGGAAAATGTGGATATAAACCATTTATGATGCTTCTCTCTCAGCTGGAAATTACTCAGAAAACTCTTCATCAGACTTAAATGCAATTTACAATAACTATTTTAATGATCTCGGTTTTTTATTTTAAATACACAGGTGACTTTTGAACAACACAGGTTTGAACTGCATCATTTCACTTATACACAGACTTTCTTCGGCCACTGCCACACCTGAGACAACATGACTAATCTTTCCCCTTCCTCCTCCTTGGCATACTTTCAACATAAAGACGATGAGGATAAAGACATTTATGATGATCTACTTCCACATAATGAATAGTAAATATCCTTTCTCTTCCCTATGATTTTAATAATATTTTCTTTTCTCTAGCTTACTTTATTGTGCAAATGGAGCATATAATATATATAAAACACACATAATACATGCTTATCAACTATTTATGTTATCAGTAGGGCTTCCACTCAACTGTAGGCTCTTAGTAGTTAAGTCTTGGGAGAGCCAAAAATTATAGCTGAATTTTTGACTAAATTATATTCAGCTAAATTATAAATTATAGCTGAATTTTGTGGGGGGTCAGCACCCTTAACTCCCATCTTGTTCAAGGGGTTACTGTATTCTGAATTGTCTTTTAGCTTGAGTCATAATGCAGGTATAGTGAAAAACATTTGTATCTATTTAAAAATAATACAGGTAAGAGTTTTAAAAATTATATATTTTTCCTACATGTTATCTGGGAAGAACTTAAAATGGAGTTATGTAAGAAATATATAAGCCTTTTAAATTTGACCTTTTATTTCTGGCATTAGAATCTACTATAATGGGAAGGAAGATGTGTAAATAGAAATGAAGCAAACTATTCAGAACTGTTTAAGATCATGTATAAAAAGTTATACTTAAGTTACTTTTCTGCCTGGAAACTGCAATAAAGCAATATGACTTTTTAATATTTTACCTATTGCTAAAATTTATCTCATTTGCCCATATTTTATTATGCTGTATAAGATATGAGATGTGGGAAATCTAGTAATTATCAGAAATAATATACTTTGTGAACAAAATATATACTTTAGGAATGGAATAAATAAATAATGAAATACTATTTGTGAGTTTTTTTGTGTTTGAATTTGTCATGATGCATGCCTTTTTTGTCACGTTTTGTTGTTTTCTAGGATTAGGATAGGTAAAAAATTATGAGATGATTAGGAATTTGTAACTGAAAGACAAGCAGACTTTGAAAGAAAAGGATATTCCAGATATTCCATTTGGTACTTGTGAAACATCAAACTCATGTAATTTCATAATTATGGAAACTTCTTAAGAAATAGTGAGTTATAAAAGAAGACATACAAGATTATACAAACATATAAAAAAGCTCAATATCACTAATCATCAGATAAATGTAATTAAAACCAAGTGAGAGACCATCTCACCTCAGTCAGAATGGCTGAGTAAAAAAAAAAAAAGTAAACAACAACAACAACAACAACAGATGTCAGCAAGGGCACAGAGAAAAGGGAACACTTATACACTGTTGGTGGGAATGTAAATTAATACAACCTCTGTGGAAGGCAGCATGGAGATTTCGCAAAGAACTAAAAATAGAACAAGTATTCAACTAAGCAATCTCACTACTCAGTGCCTACCCAAAAGAAAAGAAATTGTTATATCAAAATAAAGCCTGCACTCATGTCTTTATCCCAACAGTGATCATAATAGCAAAGTCACAGAATTAATCTAAGTGTCCATCAGTGGATGATTGGATAAAGAAAATATATATAAACACCATGTAATACTATGCAGTCATAAAAAATAATAAACTAAAGTCTTTTGTAGCGACATAAATGGAACTGGAGACCATTATCTCAAGAGAAATAACTTAGAAACAAATATTAAATAAAAAATATTAAAACTAAAAAACAGTCAAGTAGTCATTTAAGCCTTGCATCTTTAGTAAGCATTAATGCTTATATCTTATCTCCTGAGAAATTACCTGCGGGAAAGAGAAAGGAAGGAAGGAAGGAAGGAAGGAAGGAAGGAAGGAAGGAAGGAAGGAAGGAAGGAAGGCAGGAAGGAAGGCAGGCAGGAAGGAAGGAAGGAAGGACAGACGGACAGGAGGGAGGGAAGAACTTAAAAAGAGTAAGCTCAGGGTCTTGTTGCTTGGAAGAAAAATGTAAACTTTAGATGCTAGCTCAAAAGTCTGCTATGCTAGCTTTCAAGTCTGATATGAATCACAGCTCCTCATTTGAAAACCTATTAAAAATAGCAGCAAATTTAATAAACAGCAAGCTAAATCTCTTGAGAATAATTCAAGCTGACATTGAAATGTGTGCTGTCACAATTTTGCTCTGTAGGCTTAGACACGCTGCTATTTGCCCAGCATTGGGGAAGGGGAGGAGCACAAACCGACTCACAGTTCGAGATGTTGGAGGAGCCGAAGGACTTGTTAGGGAAACCATCTCCTGGATTGCTAATCGGAGTTTTAGGCGATGCAGTGGATTGCTGATTCCAATTTCTCTCTGGATCTCAGTGTCAGATAAAGCAGACATGATGGCACCACTCTTCACGTTGGCTCGGCAGGCTGCAACGTACCACGCAGGCATTCCCAACCAAAGCTGTTAGATAGGAAAAAAATGCATTAACAAATTATAATAATAGTTATCATGTTAGTGTCTCATATGCCAGGAATTATTTTATGTATTTTACATACGTGACCTCATCCCATGAGATAAAATGTTACCATTATTTTCCCCAGAGGAGATAGACGCACAAAGAAATTAAATGATGTATTTAAAAACAACAGCAAGGTAGTGATAGAAACAAGATTTGAAATTGAGAAATGCTAGCTCCAGAGACTATTTTAACTAATTCATATTACTAGTGATAAAAGTAATTGCTGCATGGCACCAAGTTCCCCCTTGTATGTAGGGACTAGAACGGCTACAAGCCACATTTGATAAGGGACTCAATTAATGTTTGTTTAATGAGTGGCTTCAATTTATAGTGCTCCTTTGAAATTCTGAGTGAAGAGAAATTCTGTCACAGAAAGAGACAGCTGTGCCATAGCCAGCCATGTGATTTTGATCAAAACATGCAGTGTAGCTAAGCCACATTTCCACCTACCTTCCTATATCATGTGAAAGATGTGTGAACTTAATTAGATGCTATATATGAAAATGCCTTTTGGAGAGTGAAATGATGTACTAAGAAAGAAGTTAAAATTCAAAGCATTGAAAAACTAAAGAAAGTAACAAAATTAATAATGCATCAGAAATTAGAGATTTTAAGGCTAGGCACAGTGGCTCATGCCTGTAATCCCAGCACTTTGGGAGGCCGAGGTGGAAGGATCACTAGAAGTCAGGAACTTGAGACCAGCCTGGCCAACATGGTGAAACATCATCTCTACTAAAAATACAAAAATTAGCTGGGCATGATGGCGGGTGCCTATAATTCCAGCTACTTGGGAGGCTGAGGCAGGAGAATCACTTGAAACTGAGCGGCAGAGGTTGTAGTGAGCTGAGATCATTTGCACTCCAGCCTGGGGACAGAATGAGACTCTGCCTGAAAAAAGAGAAGACAAGAGAGAAAAAAAGAAAAGAAAAGAAAAGAAATTAGATATTCTGATTTTTTAATTTTGCTATGAGACTCTTGAAAGACAATTAAACCAGTAGTTCTATGAACACAGCACAGGTCTGGTGCACCCTCAAGCACTGCGTGAATGCCAATCACAGGCATCATATTTCAGCACCTGAATAACATCACTTAAAGCAGAAATATTCTCCCATTTTCCCCCCATCATTAGTTATGAGTAAGAAGTAGAAAACACAACAAAAATGTAGCAGTTTACGTATTTGTTTTTGAATGTCCAAAAGATTGATTGATTTTTTTTGATATTTGTTGAAATAAATAGGTTGAACAAAGGAGAGAATTGTGAGAGCGAGAACAAGTAAGTGAGATAAAGAAGAAAAACTATAAATCAGCAAAATACGGTGCCAAGAGCTCTAGACCACAAATCAGAAGACCCGAGCCCTAATTCCTTTCCAGTCTCATTGGTGAGTCATGTAACCCATTTAAATCTCAGCCATATTTTCCTCATTTGTAAAATGAAGGAATCAAGCTTGATTATTTCTGAGGCATCGTGATAGCTGTCAAAATGATCTCTACCTCCGGATATCCATTCCCTTCTATAATCTCCTTCCTTTGGAGGTTGGTTTGGCCCAGTGATTTATTTCTAATAAATAGCTGATGATAAAAGTGATAGGATGTCGCTTTCGAGTTTAGGCAATAAAAAACTATGGCTTCATTCTTGTTAGTCCCCTTCTGCTCTCTCTTTCCCGCTGAGCTCTCACTCTGGAGCAAGTCAGATCTCAGTAGCCGTATGGAGAGTCCCATATGACAAGGAACTAATATTTCTGGCCAACAGCCAGCAGGAAACTGAATCATGACCCTGGCCATATAAATGAGCATGGAAGTGGATTCTTTCCAAGTCCAGCCTTGAGATGACTGCTGCCCTGACTGATACTTTGATCGCAGTCCTATGAGAGACTCTGAGCAGAGGACATCGCAAAGCTATTCCCAGACTCCTGACCCACAGAAGTCATGAGATCATAAATGCCAAATTTGCGGGTAATTTGTAAACATCAATAGATAACCAGTACAAACATCCTTTTAGTTTAAAAATTCTACAATATTTAAAGAGTATTTCTCTCTTTTGAAAAAAAAAAATGCCAACAAATGAAACTTTTTGAGTCAGTGTGGACTGGGTTGTAATAGTGATAAGAGAAAATAAGGGGAAGATCTAAGTACAGTGTGTGACTGTACAGATTATGCTTTCTTCCAGTGGGTTAGGCACAAATAATTGACCTTGATGGGTACATTATATATGACAGAAGATAGGACTTAACTATTTAGTTTATAAACTCAAACTGTTCAAAATAACTAACATCTAAACATGTCTTCTTTGGATCCTAATGATTGTTTTTTACCCTTGTCTTCTGAGATATTTGAATTTCCACACAAGTTAACATCACCCAGATGCCTGCCAATACATTGTTACCAATGTCATCCATAATTAGACCTTTAAGAGTCTTTGATGTGGATAAATGGAGTGTGAAGCATGGAATTCTCGCCGACACAAAATTCTTAACAGGCTGTGCACTCAAGGAGGAGTGAAAGGAGATGAAGTTAAAGCTTTCATTCATTGGATCACTCAGCTCATTCATCTTGTTTATTCCATTTCATAATTTAAGTTGCATTAGGAATCACATTATAGGCAATTTCTATGTACTCAGAATAGGTTTAATTAGCACAAACTTCACTGTCTGTCATCTCCTATCACCTTAATGTCAGTAAATCTGGTTTTTTTTTTCTTTTTATCTGAAGGATTTGTTCGTCACTTGCCAAAACAGCAGCGAACTCTTTGTCAAACTGCAGCTCATTTTATCGGAGAAAAAACCGAACAAAGAACTGCTATCATTTCTGAGGTGTGATTTCTTAAGCATTTTGTCTTGTGATTGATTTTTTAAATATAGTAATTTTAAAGACACGGTTGAAAGAAGCAGCTCTGATTGCTAATATCTGATGGCTAATATGACAAATTTCCCTGTCTGATGTGAAAGAATAAAGTGAAAGCAAAATACAGGCATTTTTCATTCAGTCCAAGAAAAAATACAAAGCATGTTTCTAGATATAGCTATGTAAGTCTATTTTTAAAACTAAAATGGGCTTTAATGTTTCATTATTGATTATTTACTTAGCTCTAGCTATAATAAAAAGAAGATAGATAATTTTATAATCCAAGACCATTTAAAACACTGTGTATAATTACCTCTGTCAGGCAAGGAAAGCCTGGATTCTTCTTTGCCCTGACACAGGCATATCCTAGCAGCTACTAGCAGCTCACAGAGAGAACTGAATAGAAGGGGCAGTGAGCACTACTGTTAAGTGACACAAAAGAGCCCTTTGCAGTCAAATATGTAGTTTCCTCAATGTCAGAATCGGTTTCTGCTGCCTTCCACCCTGTTCAGATATTCCCTTATTTTTCCAGAACACTGTTGTACGGGAAATGCTAAAAACAGTTCTTCTTTTATTGTAGCATTCAGTTTGGACATATAAGGGAATAAGGGGTAAGTCTTCTGTTTTATCCCAAGTGTCTAAACCTAGCTGGTCCCTAGGCTTTAGGTTCAGCAATTAAATTATAGGCAAAGGAATGTCTCTCGGTATATCTAGGTGATCTTACTCTCTTGGATTACAGAAGTGTTGAATCTGGAGAGGGTCTTCTCTGTAACCTGCTAATGAGAAAGGACCCTGGCGTAATGGATGTGAATGGATGTTTTCTTGCAACAATAAAACTTTGTTTCTTCTCCGCGGGGCGCAGTGGTTCACGCCTGTAATCCCAGCACTTTGGGAGGCCGAGGTGGGCGGATCACAAGGTCAGGAGATCGAGACCATCCTGGCTAACACGGTGAAACCCTGTCTCTACTGAAAATACAAAAAAAAATAAAAAATTTAGCCGGGCGTGGTGGCGGGTACCTGTAGTCCCAGCTACTCAGGAGGCTGAGGCAGGAGAATGGTGTGAACCCAGGAGGCGGAGCTTGCAGTGAGCCGAGATCTCGCCACTGCCCTCCAGCCTGGGTGACAGAGCGAGACTCTGTGTCAATTAAAAAAAAAAAAAAAATGTTTCTTCTCTTGCTCTAGAAATGAAGAGGGTGTGATTTAGAGACACTTCCTTTTATCCTACTGCATGCTTTCTTCTGCTACAATCACAAAAAGTTTCAGAGTAAAATCACAAACTTATTCCCTAGTAAGCAAATAGTCCCTTATGAGCAAATCCAGACTAAGGGGGTGCTGTGATTTCAGAAACTTGCCTTTACCTGTCTCAAATAAACTATCAACTTACAAGTGATTGATTTAAGGGCCTCCTGGTTTCATTCTCTTACCTCTAGCCATGCGACCACAGTCGGCCCATCCCACTGGGCAAAAGGTAATCCCTTTCTCCGAGCTTCTTCAAGAAGTTCATGCCTGAAGTATATAGTAAAGATTATTAGTCAGGTATATGGAAAAATATGACTGTGATTATTTTTAATGACAATATTTTAAAACAACCAATCATCCTTTACAAGATTTTTTATGATACTATATAGAATAACAGAATTCCTTTTTCCTTTGAGTAATACACACACATCATCCATTGATTTTATTAGGAATGAAGCATTGACATAGAGAAGTAATTATCCCCAACATTTATTTATGAAAATTAGAACATTAAGTGCTAATGGAATTAGAAGTGGAATTATATTATCAGCAAATATCTTATCCCTTCAATGAGAAAATGGCCCAAATGTTCATATTCAAGTATGCATTATGGGATCTAAATGTGGCTTCTTCCATTTGCCCTGCTCTCTTTGCCTTACTATCTCCATGGCAAAGAAAATGCTTACATAGAGAGGCAGAAGATAAATTTGGTCCTTTTAGTCACATTCTAGTGATGTGGTTGATTTTAGTATGCCCTATGGGTCCAGGGGTCTATCTTAGGAGTTATTTGTCTGGACTATGAAACTACATCTCACTTGGAGAAAACTCCAAGGTAAATTGATTTCTAACACTCGAAAGCAATGTAAGGTGTTAAATTCAATGGTACACTGGTTTTTATCTATAATCACTACTGTTTTAATGAAATTAAAATATCTTAGTAACAATAAATGGTTGTTTTGATAACAAAAAGATGCAAAAGAACCCTGAAAAATGCATCTATAATTTCACTGACTCTTACTGATTTTTAGAATTGACATCCACTTACAAAACCAATTTGAGACCACTCATTATTGAGATAGTAGCTATGTGCTTTCATTGAAACTCCAATTGATATATACTTGGAAGGACTATGTTGGAAAATACATTCTCTTTATTTTAGTATGCCTTGATCTTACACACAGATGATAAAAACATGGTATAATAATTGCTTTATTTTGAATGTGTGTGTTGTATGCTTAGGAATATTTCATGAAAATCATTTATGAACCCCCAAATGGATAATTTGATTATTTTCTGCTATTAATCAATTAGTTACTTACTGTGGTAGACTATATTAATGTATTAAGATATATAATGAATAAAATGCCTTTCAACACAGGGTTTTCTGTGTTTGTAATAGAGGCTACCAAAAATGCATTAAAAAAACCCAAAGGGCAAACTACAAATTTAAGTTATAGTAGCTGAAGAGACATAAATCAACTGCCGTTTCATTTGAGTAAGGTCTGCGTGTAAGCTATTCAGCACCTGGGAAAGGGAACAGCGACACCCGTGCTCTGAATCTAAAAAAGTAGAAGCACTTCCTCACCTGGCTTGCTCTATCATCCCTCATTCCCTCAGGTCTCCCAGTGACATTCCTTTACTGAAAACCAGTTTCAAATAGCTTAGCCTCACTGTGACAGATATATTTATAGAAATGGATTGAAGGATCAAAAAAAAAATACCTATTAGGTATTTATTGAACACCTGCTGTGGACTGAGACTTGTGTTTGGTGCCGAAAATAGATATGGGTCTAATTTCCCAGGATATACCCTGTTAGATGGACAAAACAAACACTTGAAACTGTCTGAAAATACCATACAATACAATACAATACACAAACAGCTGCCAACATGAAAACTTGGTGATGTACCTTCTGAAGTATGTCATTTTGGAAAAGGGGTTAATAGCCATTGAAGGTGTTGTGAAGGCATTGTGGCAATGGAGCTGGCTTTGAAGGGCAGCTAGGAAAGAGGTGGGGATGGCATTCCATGCAGGACAAGCACTAATGGGGAAGGTATGGGACTTAACATGAAATATGTGGAAGAAAATTTAGGGGAGGCCTTCACAGAGTTAAAGCATGTTGTAAGAGTTGTAATGTTAAATCCAGTAGGGAAAGGGACACTTCTAGTTATGTCATAGGTTAGGGACATTAAAAGGGAAGAAACAAATTTACATTTACTATTAGTTTTTGCTTCACGTAGTAAAAAAGCAAGGAAATATGCACTAATAACCTAAGGAGCACATAACATTTTCAGAAGTGTATTATATGAGTGGTACAACAGCTATTTTTAAATATTAGAACACTTTCATTTTGAAACTTCTGACTAGTTCCCTAGTAAAAATTCCACTAGAAAGGCCAGATTGATCCTGTTGAGTCTGATCATGTAACTTCTCTGCTCATAACTCTCCAATCACTTCCTGTCTCACTGGGAATAAAAGCCAAAACATCTGCTACAATCTATTCTACCCACGTCATCTCTGCCTAAACTCCCACCTTGGTCAGCAACACTGGCCCCCTTGCTGTTCTTTGGAAACAACCCAGACCTCTTTTCTGCCTCAAGATCTTTGCAGCTCACCTGGAATGCTCTTCCCCTCTATCTCCACATGGCTGACTTTCTCAGCTACTTTAAATCTTTAATCAAATATCACCTGTTCTGAATGTCTCCTTCCCTACTCCCTGAAAACCCCACCTAAAGACTCCAATAAGGAATTTCTTATCCCCATTGTTTGCTTTATTTTTCTCCAAGGTATTGCCATTCTAACACAGTATGTTATTTACTCCTCATTCTGTCATCTGCCAATAAAATATAAGCTCAAGGAGGCTCTTTGTTTTCATATATTCTGTTCAGAGATGAATTTGAAGTCTAGAACAAGGTCAGGCACAGAAGAGGTACTAAATAAATATTTGTAAATGTTAAAGAAAATGCCAATCAGTGTTTATATTTAGGTGCTTCTTGTTTCAGTAAATTGTGTTCTATAATGTTTTGTTTTTGTAGTCCAAATAACTTTTTCTATTTTACCTTATAACCATGTACAACATTTTATGTTTTAAAGAACGAAATGTTTTTCTTGTACCTTACCTCCCCTTGAGCTTTTTGTTTCCCACTTTCTCACAATAGTACTGATTCTAGCTGATCCCAAGGGTCTGATCTGTCTGGGTTTCCTGGTGAGAATTTGGTTAAGAGGCAACCCAATGTGCCCAAATCGTTCCGTTCTATGAACAGAAATATTGATAATACAGTTGTTTGGGAAATTATTGAGCAATATGCCCACTGAAAAAGTTTTATTTTCTTTGGTTTTGTTTTGTTTAAATCACAAACTCTAATAGCAGGATGACTTAAGTAATCGCAGTCTAAGAAAATGAGATAAGGGAGCTCAAATCCTTTGGTCTACAACTGTTAGGGCAAAATCTGTAGCATCTGTCTTAGGGCTGACATACTTGAGACTGTGGAGAAATGGATCAGATGGGAGGGATGGCTAGGTTTTACACCAGGACTGTGTACTACATGACGGTAACTCTAGATGTGCTTTTCCTTAACCTGAGAGAAGTATCAATTGTGTAAAAAAGAACAGCATTGAAATTTCCAAAGCAATATTGCATTGCATTATTATTCTCAATTATAAAATAATCTGCACCATACAAAATTTATAAAAGGCATATATCTGGGCATGTTGACTTGAGAGAGAAGCAATGCCAGAAAAATAAAGCAATGTGGGCAATGCTATAATAGTTGGAAATAACTGAAATTTAATACATGATGATACGCTAACAGATTATTAAGGGTAGCATTAATTACATAAGGGCATGCTTATTCTCATCAAGTTTTGGAGTTACTGTCAGAAAAATAGTGATCTGAACTGTTTAAGAAATACTAAATGACAAACTGATTTGGCACAAACAAGCCTTTTGGATATACTGGTGTTCTCTGTTCAACCTGTCCATGTATGGAAAGGGATTTAGTCTGGAATGGATTTCCTTTGCAGCCAGAATTCAACTTTTTTAAAGGTCAAGTGACAGTTCTTCCAGAAAAAGGACATGATCACTTACCCCTGTACAAATTTAACTCTGAAAATTACTCGCTTTCCCTGTAGGCCTGAAGCATAATTTTAGTGTGTTTTTAAAAATAATTTCAGACAATCAAATATTTGACCATCTTTTCCCAAAGGATCACTTGTGCATCACTAAATTTTGGGGCATGCATTTCAGGTTTAAGACTCAGAATAGATTTTAGAGGACATCAGCAGTACTTCCTTTTAGAGGAAGTGTCAGGCATGGAGGTGTTATCACTTGTGTCAAAACACAAACAAGAAAAGTACTAATTGCAAGAAATAGTTATTTTGAATCAGTACAACTTCTGAATCATTGTGCATTTTCAAGAAACACTCTTCAATAAAGAATGCTGTTAGTATCCTCCATAGGCCTCAGGCTGTCCTATTACTGATATCAGTAAGTTACTGTGACTAGAAAGTGACATTTTAGGAGGCAACATGTGGTGAGCACTCAGGTCTGTGAATAATTTGCAAGCCCATATCTAAATGTGCAGAGGGGAGGCTGCACTTGCTATGCCTGAACTAAAGACAGGAACAAAGGGTTGCACACATTACATAAGGGCATGCTTATTGTCATCAAGTTTTGGAGTTACTGTCGGAAAAATAGTGATCTGAACTGTTTAAGAAATACTAAATGACAACTGATTTGGCACAACAAGCCTTTTGGATATACTGGTGTTCTCTGTTCAACCTGTCCATGTATGGAAAGGGATTTAGAAATGATTAGACTCAAAAATTTCTAGATAAAAGATCAATAGGGTCTAAAAAACATAAATAAATCAAGAGCATTTGCCAGGCTTCGGATTTCTAACTTTTAATCCAGGCTAATTAAGCAGGTGGGTGCAACTTTGGTTAAATGACTAAATCCAAATGGAAATGCCTGGATCTTCATTTTTAGGTTTTAAGTCTCTCCTTAACAATTGCAGTTGTGGTCTAATTGGTATATGAGTAGGGTCTCTGGTTTCCATCTCTTGCATTTTTATGCCATCACATGCCATCCTGCCTTATCTCCCCACACACTTTGTCCTGATTTTCATGATTCAACAAAAATGCTTCCTTTCTACATCCATCCTTCTCTTGCCCTGGAGGCAATATTTACCACTTTCATACACAGGCCCCATAGTACTAAGCAATTTTCTCTATAGTATCTTTTATGTTTTATTGAATTTGTTGATTC